ATTAAAGATCCGCTCGATACGAGCGCGACTTTAAAAAGCTAAAAAAGAAGCTTTAAAAATATTAAACTTAGCTAAAGTGCGAAAGTTAGTTAGCTTATGAAAAGAAAGTAGTTTATCGTCGTCAGCGAAAAAACGGCGAAAGTTAGCGGTTCTATAAGTAAAAAGAATAATTTAAAAGACCGAAGGCTTATATAACTCTTTGCTTTTAAAGCTATCTTCGAAAGACACTTAAAAAGGCTCTAATAAGCGTTCCGTAATTAGCAAGACCGCTTAAAGCTAATCTAGTTCTTTTCGAGCTCGACGAGCTTCTTTTTTAGCTTTATTAGCGAAAGCCTTTTATTCGCTAGCGCTTTTATCGAGCTCTTCGTTGCGGGTTTTTATATCTACGAAGAGCTTCTTAAGCTTAACGGCCTTTCGTTAAGACTAAAAAAGAGCTTAATATTAAGCCAAAGCTTTTTCGAAATTAATAAAAGCTAAAGGATTATCTTTATCGTCTTGCTCATTAATAGCTTCTTCTTAAGTAAAAAGAACTATTAATTAAGCCGTAAAAGAAAAAGAAAAAGCTGCTAAAGCAGCTTTAAAAAGTGTGCGAAAGATTTTACTTGCGAAGCGAAAGTTGCTATATTATATAAGTGCTATCTTTTAAGTTATACTTAGAATAAGCCTTCTCGTGACCGTTAAAATCGTTTAAATGTTTTAACGTTTAATTATTAAGGAATTCTAAAAAAAAATATATATATATATTTAAGCCGTTCTTAACGAAATAAAATAGTTATTAATAATATAACGATCTTAAGCGATTACTTAAAAGAACTCACGAAAGCGCGAAGGTTCATATAAAAGCTTAAGAGAATCTTAAAGTAATAATTTAAAATCAACAACTACCGAGTATAAAAGTCGAAAGTAGCTAAAATTTATATATACGAAAGTAAAAGCGCTAAAGACTTGTGAACTATAATTCATAAGTCAAAAGCGGAGAATAAGAGAATACGAAGAATACGAAGAAAAAAAGGAGAGGAGTAGCTTGGCGCATGTAAGGTGCGTCCAGGAGACCTGGCGTATCGTCACACAACAATAGCTTTTATAATCGAATAAAAATCTTAAATTATTTTCTATTCTTTTCTATTAACTGCCGGCTTATACTCGGTTAAAGTAGTATATAATTATAATATGTTCGAAAGAAAGATAAACTTTTAAAATTAAAAAGTACGGCGGCGTTCTTGTTTAGCTTAAGCAACCTTTTTAATAGCCTAGTTTATCTTTTCGCTATATGCGGTTCTTTCGTTCGATATTAGCTTAAATCCTTCGAGCTTTACGTATCTCACGATCTTGCTTTAAGTCATTAAAACGAAGGCCGGTAACCTTTAATTCGGATCCGAAATCAAAAGAAAACATTTAACGGTTCGAAAAAAGGTTTCGTAAGACGCTCGACGATTATAAAAAAGATAAGCTAGAAATTTGTTTTTTAAAACGGCCACGACGCAATTGCGATTCTAATAAGATACGAATAGCAAGCTTTCTTAAGCGACCTTTTCGCCTTTTTATTAAAAAGGATAAAAACGAAAGTAAAAGTTTATTATCTTTAAAATCCTTTTCTTAATTATTGTCTCGCTATAATTAATAAAACGATAGCAAAGTATTAAGAACCTTTTCAAAAGAAGCTATGTTATCCGTATTAAGTATATTAAGTAATAACAAAGTATATAAGATTAAAACGATAAGCTTAGATCGCAGATTAAAAAAACCTAAGTAATATTAATAACTCTAGTAACTCTAATAACTTTAGTAATTTAAGTAACTTAAGTAATATACTTAAACCGCTTATGCTTTTTTAAAAAGCTTCAAACTCTGCTGCAAATTTAATACGCCGATTCGAAAGAAATGAGCTTTAGCAAATTAGTAACTTTAGTAACTTAGTTAAAAAGACTTACTTATATTACTTTGCGGCGCCTTACGTATAGAATTATTGTCACCTACGGTGACCCAAGATAAATTCCAGTAGTTGTGGTTGTGGTAGTGATTAGTCATCCAATCACGTGAGACTATTCTATACCGGTCTGGCAAGATTTCTGAGCGTGCCAAGACTTTTATTCCGTGTCAATCTATTGAACTTTTTTCGGAACGAGTCGGCCCGTTTAATTCATGTACAACAGCTAAGCCTAATTCAGCCACCGCTATTGATTCTGCTAGCAGGCAGCCATACGTAACGCACGTCGCTGCTATACGTAACTTACGTAAAGCTGCTACACGTAATGCACGTCGCTGCCTTACGTAATACGTAAGGCAGCTAGGCTGCCACACGTAA